AATACACATTAATTAATTAATTAAGAAAATCGTTTTAAAGTAATCGAATATATAATTTTAAAACAATCAAATAAGTTTTTAGTGATTGAAAAATAAAAATAAAAATTGCATGTAATCATACTCAAATTTCTTACGAATTTTTCAATCGAATTTCATTGACATTTATATTTACAACACACTAATTCTACTAAAAGCAAAAGAAATTTAAAAAAAAAAACAAAACAAAACAAACAAGCAAACAAACTATTTGAGGAACTGCTTGGAGTTGACTTAAAGAATTTTGCCATTGCAGTTCTGAAGACTACTCTAAATGACTATTTGCATCTCTGTTAAAAAAAAAAAAAAAACAACGACTATTTGCATCTGTTAACTTTGATGTCTTAGATGCTATTCAGAGATCAACTTCAAATTCTTGGGTCTCTGGGTCTCCTTATTCAGAAGAGGCTTGTATGCCAGACTTAAGTCTGGTTTTCATTGATGGGAGTAGGCTGGAAAAGAATCTCTTGGAAAATTGGTGATGAAAGAAGAATCATGAAGGCATAGGCAATCAACGATGACGCTTCTGAGTTCTCCCCTAAACCGATTCAGAATGCAATCTAGAGTCTCCACATCTAGAGAAACAACTACCACCACCACCACCACAATATATATTCCCACTCAGCAGAGAAATTTTGATGAAAATACAGTAAATAAGACTGATCGATTACTTACAGAGAGATCGAGCTCGGGGAGAGAGGAAATGACTTGGTAGACAGAGGATCGAATGGTGTATGTGAGAATGAGAATGATAGAGAATGAGATCCCCAAGCACAAATATGGGGAAATGGACGGGTACCCATTCCCAACCCATATCCAATGGGTATTTAAAAAACATCATTTAATTAACCCAATGGATAAACAAAAGTGGGGAAAATCCATATATGTGGATTGGGTCTCCATAGGGTAGGATCCTCATTGCCATTTCATCTCCTAAAATAAACACAACATACAATGAGTTTCACTTTCGCTTCGATCTCAATCTTATTCTTATCTCTATCTCTATCTCCCAAAACAAATGGAGTAATAGCCTCAATCTTGCTGGGCCACGGGCCTTGTGTATTGATTTACTAAACTCGCGTTTAATGTTCTTGATAAGAAAATAAAATGTGTCTAATAATCATAACATGTATAATTTATTATGTTTGTTTTTTAAAATATAAACAATAAATATATATATTTAAAAATATTTTTTCTTTTTAAAAAATAAACACGACAAATATCATTATTAAATAAATATAATTTATTTTAAAGTTAATTACAATTTTTTTTTCAAAGTTTCACGCGTTTTTATTTTAAATCCTAGTGTTTTAATTTTAACAAATTAAATCCTAAAGTTACATCTGTATTTCAATTTGTCCCTTCCATCCATCTCCATGGATGGATTAAAGTGAAAAATACTGGGATTTAAAATGAAAAATACGTGAAACCTTAAATTTTTTTTCATGTAATTAATCATTTAAAAAAAAATAAAATCACAAAAAATAAAAAATGGTTACCTTACGTAGACGTAGATGGACGAAAAAGGTAAATTAAAAAACGGATATAACTTCATAATTTAATTTATCAAAACTAAAATATTGATATTTAAAATAAAAGACCTGTAAAATTTTGATTTTTTTAAATTAACCTTTCTTTTTTATTAGGAATGATTTTTTTTTTTGTTTTTTTTTTTGACGTAATAACAAAAATAAAAATGCTTGGTGGCTCAAAAAAGAACGGCTCAAATGACCCGAATGGGTGTTGGCCGGACGTTCGCCCGGACGACAGGATGAAAGCTTGTCTACCTGTCACGACCCAAACCCGCTCTTAAGGGTTTAGCATCATAACCGGCTAGTAATCCGTGATTACCAAACGCCTGCTTAACAGTAATAACAGTAATACAATATAAAGGGGGCTGGCGGAAGCCAATCAGTAATAAAAAGATATCCAATGAGCTGTGGAAACCTGAATGAAAAAAAAAAGACTTTTATGGGCCACTACCTTCAAAGCCATATACATATCAAAACACATATACAACGTAGCATATAGGTTAGGGACCTATTCCCCTTACCATAACTGTACAATCAAGTCTTAAACATTCATACATTAGTAGAGATAAAAAGGGTGAATCTGAAACACTCCAAAACAGCCTTGACTCGAGCAGACTCGAAGCCCCGAAGTGAGGCACAATGGTTGGCTTGACAAAACATGAGCTTAATTCGACGCTTCTAGCTTCGGTCCGGTGCCTGGCCACCTACATACATATATAAACTGTGAGCTAAAGCCCAGTGAATAACACATGTGTAAAGGGGTTTTAGAATGAATGTCCTTTCAGTATTTGAAACAGTCATTTACATTAGTAGATCAGTCATTTAATTGGTGCCACATATTTCATGTCATATCAGTCATTTAGAAATCATAGCAGTTATACGTGGTACATCCAATAGTAAAACAGTACAGTAGGTCTGAATAAACCGAACAGTTAGTTGATGGCCATCGAAACAGTAAACAGTAGTAGTTCCAAACATTGGAACTAACAGAAATCTCTATAAAAGTAGAAGTAACAGTAACAGTAACAGTACAGTAGCAGTAACAGTAACAGTAACAGTAACAGTAAGTTGCTATGGATGCCACGAGTACAGTTCATAAAATAGGACAAACATTCATTCAGTAAACAATGTCACTTCAGAAAGCAGTACAGTTCATAAAATAAGACAAACATTCATTCAATAAACAATGTCACTTCAGAAAGCAGTATAGTCAATCGTTCAGAAAATAATTATAATTGAACATATCTTTACAACATTGTTACTCACAGATTACTAGGCTATAAGCAGGCTAATCAGGGTCCTTAGGTGCCAGACCTACACAGTTGCAGAACGAACACACACTAAATTACACACTCGGGTTTAATAACTTAGCCCCTAACTTGATTTGGTGTGGTTTTATAACATTATCCTCATTATGATGCCTTAAACATGGCGTAGGAATGCCTAGGATGGAATGAGGATGCAAAAATGTACTTAAAAATATTTTTCAAAACTTGTTGAAAACAGGGGTCTCGCTCGAGTGTAAACTTGTTCGCTCGAGCGAGCTTACTGAATGAGAGAGGTCGCTCGAGCGTAGACTCTCTCGTTTGAGCGATCTGCAAAAAAAGGTGAAAAGTACTGGTTGCTGAAATTCTCCGCTCGATGCTCGCTCGAGCGTGAGACATAGTTCCTCGCTGAAGCGTAGGTCTCGTCGCTCAAGCGTGTGTCTGCACACGCAAAAACCTGAGAGCGTACAATTTACGCTCAAGCCAGCATTCCGTTGCTCGAGCGAAAGTCTGAAAACAAAGGTAGTCGCTCGAGCGAGGAAGCCAAATTCTGGATTTTCCAGATTTGTTCCCATGCTTCAAACCATGAACCAAACATTCCAAAACACATCCTCTTGAGCCAAATTTTATGGAAAACACATAAAAACTCATAATACAACATGTTTGAAAGATCATTTCATAAAATCAAAGCCCAAAAGTGTGCCAATTGTACCAATTCCCAACTCAAAATCCAAGAACATGGTTTAATTATGCCATGCATGCACTCATTCGAATCCAAAGCTCCCAACACATGATCACAAGAGGAATCTTACTCTAAAACTTGATGAATTCCTAGATTACAGCCATAACGTGGACATGTATGAGGAAATTTCATGAAAACAAACCTCAACTTCAATGATATGAGCATGCATGCATGAATTAATACCTCTTAAGCTAAACTCCCTTAATTCATAGGTCAATCCACTAAAATTCAAAATGATTTAACTTAAATTCAAGATTAGGGACTTGACTCCTTACCTTAGATGTTCAATTGGGCTTAAGACACTATAAATCTTGAGGCAGATGAACTAGTCTCCAAAGATTCCCTCAACTCCTCTCAATTCCAAGCAATTGCCTTGTTGAATCCAATTCCTTCCTATTCTCCCTCTCGCTCACGGTTTAGCACAAGGAGGTGGAAGATAGATAATGTGTCAAACATACATGAATTAAGACTAAAACAATGGTCATGAAGGTAGCCCACCCAATGGCAAATGTGTAAATAACTCTAGCTAAAATAATTTAGCATTATTTGCTCTAATTTAATCATTCCCAATTGAATTTCAATTAAACTTACCATAAAATTCTATAATTCTTAATTAGCATATAAATCCAGTCAATTTCTGAATCGGTTGCCGATAAGGCTGTCAATTCGCAAATTGAAATCAAAACATGAATAGGTCTTTCTCTACATCAAACAGATAAGGATGCAATTAAAACAATACACTCACATAATCAATTTGGGATTTCATCGTAATCATTTACTTGTCGTGCTAAATTACGAATTAACGCTAATCAGAGGTGAGGGTTGTCACACTACCGCGGTTGTCACTATTATCGATCGCGGCTGTCAGCCTCCTCGTTGGACGATGGGTCAAATGTCCGGCTGGACGACCAACAAGGTAAAATTCGGAACATTTGAGCCAACTTCCTTTTGGGGACACCCTGCATTGCTCTAACAAAAAATATTCTAAACACTGTAGCCATGGTTCGAGGCTCGGAGCAACCGGTAACCGGTAACTGGGAGTGACTTAGGAATGATGAGTCACACAAAGGCTTATTTTGGAAAGATGCTAAAAAGTGACTTTTTGGCTTTTAACTAATAGCTTTTGGTTTTTTTAGACAAATAATTTAGAAAGTTGGTAAATAGTTATTTTTGATTTTTTTGATTAATATTTGTTTATGATGTCATATTACAATAAAATGACCAAACTATTTTTATTTATTTAAAATATTTACTTTATCCATATAACACATTTTAACCTATGAGAGATAGAATTATAATTTCATCATTAACTACAAACTAACTTTTCAAATGAAAAAAACGACCAAAAAAAAACTAACTTCTAACTTTTGTCACCGACCTAAAAAAGTGACTTAAAAACCATGCCAAAACACCCAAATTTAAAGATCGCCATGAAATTCAAATTTTAAAATAGAATAGCCCAAGCCATTGTAGTAGAACAACGTAAACCTCAAACCCTCTTTCTCACCGTACTTTGGAGAGCTTCACAGACTCACACATCTCAAGATCTTCATTCAAATCTTCAAATCAGAGCTATCAAGTTCATCAACAACCTTCACATTTCAAAATTACTCTCAGTTCTCCAATTTATTCTTCTAAAATCCCCCATCCCTCTCTCTCTCTCTCTCTCTCTCTATATATATATATATATATATCGGCATATGAGAGAGATTTGAATATCACAACATGATCGTTAGAACGTACGGTCGTCGGAATCGGAGCTTCACTAGACCCCACTCTGCCTCACCTTTCGACGATCCAGATTCTTCGTTTTACCAAGAAAACCCTCAAGGCAATGACATTTACAGTTTTGCCTTCTCTTCCCAAGATTCCTCTCACTGGTCCTTCGATTCCGAACCCTACTTCTCCAATTCGTCTCAAGAACCTCCTCAATTGGCAATTGTAGTCGGTGATTCGGAGCACAGAGATGGGGATTTTCGAAAATTAAAGAAGGCGAGGAGGAATGGGAAGAAAGAGAAAATGGGGAAATGGGTTTCGGCGGCGACATTGATGGAGACTCAGGAGTGTGGGGAGATGATGGAGCATGTGGACGAGGTCAATTTTGCTTTGGATGGGTTGAGGAAGGCTCAACCGGCTCGGATTCGAAGGGCGTGTTTGTTGTCTCTGTTGTCGATTTGCTGTACAGCGCAGCGGCGGCGGCTTCTGAGAACACATGGGTATACGAAATTCATTTTAAAATTGAAAAAACAAAGTATTGTGTTTGTATTAGAATGTTATAATTTGCAGTTCACTGAAAACCCATCTATGTTTTATGTACACATTTACTATCCACCTTCAGTACTTAATTTTGTCAATTACACTAAGTAGTAATTATTCGGATATGGATGGTACTACTGCTCTTATTTCAAGTTGAGATTTGAGATATTTTTGTTTTTTGAATGCAATCAAGCAAGTGATTCCATTGTCTTGAACAGTGGCATGAGAGAGAGAGAGAGTGCTGTTTGTGTGAAATTGTATAAAGGAAATTGGTCAATGTACATATCATTTTCTTCTCTGCTTGGTTGTGCGCCAGAGTTTTGGTATGTTGGAAATTGCATGTGTTGGCAAGAAAATTTCATTTTCCACATCTTTTACCCATTGACACACCCGGTTGCAAGTCTTGGCTAGTTACCGAAGGATATGGATAGTACTATTGCTCTTATTTCAAGTTGAGAGTTGAGAATCTTTTTTTTTTTTTTTGAATGCAATTAATTAAGCAAGTGATTTTAATGTCTTGAACAGTGGCATGCATAAATCATTTCATGATTGTACTATTGACTATTATAATCAAGCTTCTTATGTCATAATAGCATATGAAGGTGCAGAGAATCTCAGATTATGTAGCTTTTATCACTCTCTTCTATCACTCTCTTCCATTTTCTCAGCCGTGTTATGATGTTAGTACTTTATGGTACCATTCGGTTAATGGGTAGATGGTGCAAAAACATATCCTACCCTAGAGAAATTTCCATTAGAATTTGATGTAGTCCACAAAAATGATTTGGTTATCTGATTTTAAACATTCTTGCCTCTTGATCTGTCAAGACAATGAGATTGTGCTCTTTGGAACAATGCACTAGACAAGAGGTTAAGGTGGGGGATTGTTATCATGGTAGTATACAACTGGATTTAGTTTCTTCATAGACCATATATTTGTATGTGTAGATATGAAATCAGTATGTATTCTATATTGTTCTACCTGAAGAATGGCACTCACATCAGTGTACACATGTATGAGAAAAGGTAAGAAAGTGTGCGAGAAAAAATAAGAAAAAACTGTGAAGTGTTTCTTGATTGGTATAGGAAATAACAACTAAGGTAGGGTTGGGCACCGGCCCAGTAACTCACCCAACCCATCCAATCCAATTGCTTTTTTAAGGGTGTGGGAATGATATTTAAGTGTGTAAGCTCGGGCTAGGCTGAAATTTTAGGTCACTTTTTATTAGGTCGGTCTTGGATATAGTATTTGAGGCTTGGCCAGGTTTGAACCTAAGATGTAATAGATAAACATTGTGTTTGTACCAACTCAACTACAAGCTATTGATGGTTAGTTTTGTAACATTATAGTTATTTTTATCTAAGGATAACTGTCAAGAATATTTGAAATCCAGAGATGTGTTGTGAGTAAAGGAAAATAAACTGTTGTTCTAAACATTGAGGTGATTCATGCACTTCGGATTGACATAGTTACCTATAATTGCTTGAACGTATAGTGATGTGTAGTTGTCGCATATTTTGGGTGTATTTTTGACATAAAATTTTGTGAGACAACTTCGAATTTGAATTTCACCAAAATACGGTGTTGCCTTATTATAGTAGTTTAGGAAGCATAGATACCGATACGAGATACGGATACGACACGATACGGATACGGCGATACGACAAAACCTAAAAAAATAGGATACCAGTACGGTTAGGATACGTTTGTGAAAAATATATTTTTTAAAATTATTAATAGTGAGTTATACATAAGCTAAAGAACATTGAGAAACCACAATATAATTTTATAATACAAAATACTAACCTTTAAGAATTTTAATTTAAGCTAGTAGCTTGTTTACTTTTTAAATTTTTAATAGGTCTTGCAAATATTTCATTTCAATATCAAGTTTAATATATTTATATTACAATAATAGAACAATTCACTACTTGTGCCTACGCTTTTTCCTTTGACACTAGTGAAAAATATTGTATTCAAGTTTGTTTGTTTATTTATTTATTGATATTTAATTTTACCATTGTTATATTCTCTTGTTAATTTTTACTTTCTATATAGTTATAGGGGACATGCATGAAATAATTAGGATACATCAATTTGATAAATTCTATTATTTAACTCACTATGCTCTTCTTATTGAAGAACTTAACAAAGTATTAGAAAAATATTCTTATATTTGTACTTGCAATTATATTATATTACTATATGTAAGAAATGTTACAATTCTAATTTCATAAAACAAGTAAACATGACTTGGAGTATTTGATACTACAAAATTAAGTATCCGATACTCCAAAATTAATGAAAAAATAATTAAGAAGTATCCGATACTTTTAATAAGTATCCGATACGTATCCAAGGAGTATTGGTATCCGATATGGATGCGATACGGATACGTCACCCTATTTGAAGTATCCGTGCTTCATAGATAGTAGTAAAGATAGAACTATTTTGCTTTGTTTGCTGCTATGTGCCTTAGCTTCACATCTTCTTTCAGGATGGCAAAAACAGTAATTGATGCTGTTTTGGGACTCAGCTTTGATGACTCGCCTAGCAATTTGGCTGCTGCTGCTCTCTTCTACATTTTGACTAGCGATGTAAGCTATTGACAATCTGCTCTTGAATTGCTATACTTTTAGAATGGAGAGCAATGTCAGCGTTTGCCCTTAGTTTTTGATGTGAAGAAGTTAACCTGTTAATAAAGAGTGCTTTATGCATAAGCATAATTAAAGGCCTTCCATTCTTTTGAAACTGTGTACTTAGGCTGTGGACAAGAAGCTTTAGGGTGTTTTGATGCTGTCAAAGACTCAGAACTACTCAAAACTATTTATAATGTGTGATATCCATGATAGTGCATTTTAGTGATTTTTCTTTGAACTGACAGTGCTTGGGATAGGTTTCACATTTTCCAGAGACTATATAGTTAGACAAGTTGATGATATTATGCATCAAATGTGCTTGCCTACCTCTCTGTTTCACTTGTTCACACTTTTAAGAGACTATATAGTTAGACAACTTGATGATATTATGGAGTGTTGAAGCCACAATCTTTTCTCTTTCTTCAAGTTACATAATTGTCTTAAAAAATTTCAAGTAGTTGCCAACTTGCCAAGTACACATTTGCATGGAATCAATCTATTTTCAAGCAATATGCGTGCATGATTGCATATGTATTTAATTCAATTTCTTTTTCTACTTCTAAAAAAATCTTAATTTGAGTTCACTTTCATGTATTTTTGTTTATCTGTTTGCTTGGATTGATCTGCATGTTTTGTTATCACCGTAAGAGCCTTGAGCTTTTCAAATTTCACTAATACAGGGTCAAGATGATCACCTTTTGGATTCTCCAAGTTGCATCCGTTTTCTGATAAAATTGTTGAAGCCACTCACCTCTGGTGTTCAACAATTTTGTTTATCTGTTTGCTTGGATTGATCTGCACGTTTTGTTGTCACCGTAAGAGCCTTGAGCTTTTCAAATTTCACTATTACAGGGTCAAGATGATCACCTTTTGGATTCTCCAAGTTGCATCCGTTTTATGATAAAATTGTTGAAGCCACTCACCTCTGGTGTTACTAAAGACGAGACATCAACTATTGGCTGTAAGCTTCTGGCGTTACGTAAGGATGTTAATATTGTACAAGACACCAATAAGGAAATAGATTTGACCTCCTCTGCAATTATGGTTAAAGTTCAGGAAATTCTTGTAAGTTGTAAGGAAATGAAGTCAAGTAAGGGAAATGATAATGCAGTGAGGAAGCCAGAGTTAAGCCCAAAGTGGATAGCTTTGTTGGCAATGGAGAAAGCTTGCTTATCTACCATTTCTCTTGAAGGTAGTCCTGTACATCAAGCGAATCCTCTATGGATTTGGTTGTTCTTTGTCATTTTTTTTATGATGGGATTGATTGATCAAATTGTGTGAAGATAAGTATTTTGGCCATGAATTCATATTCACCATCTAATGGTGTAAAGTTGTGGGATTGTTTTGACTACCCAGCAAGACCACCCACGGTTTTCCTATAAATTCCATATGTTGAGATAGCATTTCCTTTATGCTTTATGTTGTTTGCTCGTCCCTGGTTCTGCTATATATATATATTACTTTTTTCATTCTAATTGGAGATCTTAAGCAATCTTCTTATATTCCATTTGTCTCTCTCCCTTCCTATGTCGGCATTTTGTAGTATCCCTAGGATACTCCTAAATTGAATGCTTTCAGCAGGCATAAGTGCTTGTGCATTGCAAATTATTGTTAGTTTTGCTGGAACTTGTTTAAACTCCCTCTCTCCCTTAATGATCCAATTAAAACATTCATTTTAAATGAGAACGGTTAATTTCTACCCTTGAGTATGTTTGATCAGAAATTCAGAATTGCTTGAGTTGTTGCCTAATTGATGCGTTCTTATGGTTTTCTTGTTGACTTGACTTTTTAATTTTGTTTTATGTGTTACATAATTGTTTGAATGTAGCAGATGGTTAGATTATGCATATAAAATTGGCTGTGATCTTCTAGATTAAAACCCAACTTATTTGACTGAAAATTTAAAGAACTTTATACTTTTGAAACTGGAATATCCAGTGTTTTGGCTAAATTAACATAGCTTTTATTTCCGTGATATTCTTGATTTGCCATTCCTTGTCGTTGTCTGATTGTCTTTTGCTGTGATTTTTCTTTTTGGTTTGTATTTATTCAGACGCCTCTGGTACTGTAAGGAAGACTGGAGGCAACTTCAAGGAAAAGTTACGAGAGTTTGGAGGACTTGATGTGGTCTTTGAGGTTGCCCGAAATTGTCATTCCATTATGGAGGTGGTAGCCTGTATTGCTGTTGGACCTTGTTTTCTATGTTATAGTATTAGAATTTAGAACTGAAACAGCTTAAATGAATGATTAAAACTGAGAGATGATGAAACATTAACTCAGTGGAAAAATTTATAGGATTTTCAACTTCTTTCTCTTGCTAATATATGTTGAGAATTATGTTTCTGTATTTAACCTGGGAGGTCATAAAGCAGTTACCCTTAATGATAAATCTTCCTCTAGTTAATATAGGTCGAGAATGGTGATTCAGTATTCGAATGTGCATGTCTTAGAGCGGTAGAAACATAATAATGATAATTTGCTTTTACTGTGATGAGATTGCTTTACCAAAATGTTTGTTCTGATAGTTATAATTTATAAATTCTTAGTTATAGTTTATTAAATTGACCGAGGTGGTGCTAATGTCGCCGTGTAACTGTGTGCAACCCTGCTCCTGTGCTTAACTTCATATGATTGCTAAATTTTGTTATTTTTTCCTTGACAGATATTTGTTGTTTTGGTATCCAAAAGTTCATTCTTCAATAACTGAAAGAAAAAGTTAACTATGAGGGCCTGATGATCTATTTTCTGTAGTTTTTGTTTTCCATGATTCTGCGCGCATCGCGACAAGCATGTGTACCATGATCCCATTGTTTGCCTTTACCAGATTGAAATCAGTATTTCTTGGGCAAGATGAAAAAGTTGTTTTTTTGGGGGCCGTGCTTGGAAATCCTATAAAATCTCTTTTAGTGTTTTTTGTGGATTTTGTGACGGTTGATGGATCTTGCAGAGGTGGTTAGATCAAAGTTCCTTCTCATATAAGAAGTCAAAAGACAATGTAGATCTAGAAAGTCTGGTGCTGCTTTTAAAATGTTTGAAGATCATGGAGAATGCAACATTCCTTAGTCAGGACAATCAGGTAAACTGAACATAAGGGGAAAAAAAAAAAGAAAAAAAAAAGAAGAGGCACACATAAAGACTAAGTTGTGATTAAGTTAACTGGCTGTTGATGATTGAATTATCAGTTGTTTTACTTTTGGTTTTATTTTTGTGGTAGAGGCATTTGCTTGAAATGAAAGGGAGCTTCGACCATCAGGGCTCTCCTCGATCTTTCACAAAACTCATTATTAGTGTCATAAAGATTCTCTCAGGTATATAATGGTGCTAGATGTTATTTTTGTCCCTTATTTATGACAATAATGTTGCATGCATTAATTCATATCTTGTTTAATTTATTTTATCTTGTATTTTAATGATTTGTGGCATTAATGTCCAGGTCTTTCTTTATCCAAAAGCTCTTTGGGCAATTCAGATGATGAAGAGTTCTGTAATATTTCTAATGGGGCTGATCATGCTTCTGAAATGCCTTTATTGGCAGGCCATAAAGGTATGCTACGACATCGCAATGTACTTTCTGCTTTTCTTTTCCCCTAAAGAAGATTTATTACAAACTACTCTACAAAAGCAAGTATATAGAATTGCAAAGAGATATGTGACAGCAACATGAGTACTTCAGAATGTGATCATGATCTCTGGATTGGACTAGAAAGTCTGATGTAACTTGAAGGTTACAGCACCCTGTTGTCCTATTATTGTATCTGTATTGGGTCAAGATAAAGTTCAAAGGAATAAAATGGCCATTACCAAACCACAGAGAGAGAGAGAGGGGATGCCTGTGTTAAGTACCGCGTATGGGAACATAGCTTTTTGGTTTTTTTTCACTAAAAGGCAAATTGGTTGAAAAATAAAAAAAAACAAATCCAAACAAAATATCACATCAAACCCCATAATCATTTCACTTTTTCTCTCACAAACATCACATCCAACCACAAAAAAACCCAACTATCTTCCCAAACACAATTTTTTTTTTCTCCAATAATATCCTACAACTAAAAAAACCTACAAAAAAAACCACTTCCCAAACACCCACTATGTAGCTCATTCTTGTAATTGTGGAAAGTCTTTGTATATGGTGCAAACCATCTGTTAAAATTGAACTTCTGATTTGAAGTAGTTTATGTTTATTCGAATGCAATTCTGGCTAGCAACAGCATAAAATGTTGTGACTTGCTAATTTTTCTTGAATACTATGTTACCGAGTTCGTTTTATGATTTTCTTTTTAAATCGGCAGTTGACAGTGATGAGATTATATCCATCAGTTCTTCTAGCACAGAGTGGACGTCTTCTCAGAAGAGCTTCATTATATCTCAGAACAGTCGATGGTTGTCTGCTGCCCACTCAGGAATTTCTAGATCAACTTCTGAAACAACCTCTACATCTTCAGCTGATACTTGCTTGTTGAAGATTAGAGTCAATTCTTCCACTTCCGGCTCATGCAGTGGAACATCAAGGAGTTCATGTAGTGGAATGCCTGTTAACGTTTATGGTTCAAGAATGAACTTCGGTCTTGGAAAGAGATGCAAGGTTGCTGAAGACACCAAGTTTGAACTTCTAGAAGACAATCAGGATCTTTTTGCTTTTCATGAAGATGAATTTGAGCCCTGTAAGTGGGAATTACTATCTGGGAGACCGGGAGTTACTGAAACTGGAAACAGCAGAGCAACATATAGAGAAAATGAAGAGGGGTGTCAATCTCAACCGATGTTAAGCCAGCAAGAGTCAAGTAACCAGGCAAATCATCGTTCGGATGTCTCTTGTTCATCCTCTATTGATGAAGAAAAATTCAACCTTCTTGCAGACTGCCTGCTTACAGCTGTGAAGGTACTTCACATAATCTTCTAGAATTTGTCTACTGTTACTTGTTAACAATCTTCCTTTTTCTTCTTAACTTTGTGTGCAATGGAGTGAAGATGGGGTTTGTCTAATCTCACATCTTGGTGATCCTAGTTTTTACTCTTCATTAATGTTTACATGCTACCTATCAAGTGGTGGACAAGGGTTCCATCTTCTTGCATTATAAGATAAGGGTCTTGTAGACAAGTGCCTCCTGTGATTTCCTCTGCAATATGATTGTTGGGTTCACTAATGCCCATAGTTGATTTGTTGGCTTGTATAATGGAAATATGACATTACACAACCCATTAGAAAGTTATTTAATATGTTGTCTGGTTTTCTTTGTTGGAGGGTTCATGTATTTTTTGAAGAAGTTTGGTTCTGATTCACGTGATGCATGTGCAAACACTTGATGAAGTCTTCAGAGTTTTCGAAATTTATATTATCCTCTTTATGGCAGGTCCTAATGAACTTAACGAATGACAACCCTGTGGGTTGTCAGCAAATTGCTGCCTGTGGAGGACTGGAAACTTTGTCTTCATTAATTGCTGGCCACTTTCCATCATTCAGTTTATCTTTGCCTCCCTTCAGTGAGATAAGAGAGAATTCCTTGTCCATGTCAAGTCTCGAGGCTGACCATCAGATTAAGAGTTACCTCTCTGATCAAGAATTAGATTTTCTTGTTGCCATTTTGGGCTTGCTTGTCAACCTGGTAGAGAAAGATGGTTACAACAGGTAAATTGTTTTTTGTAGTATATTTTCTAGCCTACATTTTGTTGCATGAAATTGCGGATTTTGAGGATATATATATATAAATAAAAATAAAAATTGACTTTTGGTACATATAAAGTTAATTTCATGTTTTCAACTCATTAAATCATCTTGTATGGTTTGCTGTAGATCTCTGCTTGCAGCAGTGAGTGTTTCATTGCCAAGTGTGGAAGGGCTAGAAGAAGAAAAGCATCGAGATGTGATTCCATTACTATGTTCCATCTTTTTGGCCAACCAAGGGGCAGGTGAGGCAGTTGGGGAAGGAAAGGTCCTGTCCTGGGTAAGTAAACTATTCTTGTTATGCAATTTCTGTGTTATTTTACTTCACCTTTTTTGTTTCTTTTATTTGTTTAGGTTGGTTAAAAATTAAAGGAAATGAAAATGACATTAAAGTCTGAACCTCGTATTTTGGTCCCCAAGAAAGTGAAATAATCAACTTTCATTAACTGAGCTAAATTGATTTTTCTTTTTCTAAGCATTGTTGTTAAATCACATCTCAAATAGTGAATCATGAATAGTATCTAGTTGTGAATTGTAAGATTCATATTTAGTATAATATATAATTGTATATATACATATAAAAATACACAAATTGTGTTTGAGATGAAATATATCAATATTATTTATGTTGCATATATGTATATACATATAAAAGCATGTATATCAATATGATTAATTGATCTTTAATTTGCGAAAAAGACATCGTTTCATGCATTATCCAAACAAAATAGAAGTGCAATAAATCGCAGTTGAATCGTACGATTCACTCAATTTAAGATTTAACAGCACGAGTCAAATCATTTTGGTTAAAACATGTATCGTATGAATCGAATCGTTAATCATAAGATAAAACAACCATGGTTCTAAGGACCTATGCTGCAGTATGTAGACTCTGAACAGCCAAATGAATTTTTTGTAGGTTCTGTTGTTAAAGATGTGGTTCAGGCTCTGAGAGGTCAATAAGTTTATATTAATGGCTGTGGTGTCTTCACCTTGCAATATATGAAAAAAGGTCAATAAATTTTAAGTTTAGAAGAGAAATGACGAGATGATAATCCACATCCTACTTCTCATTTTATATCTTTGAGTTGCCACATATCTTTGATCAACATTGTACTTGGCTGAGGCAACAAATGTAAATAACTTCTAAAGAATTCTTAGTTTTTCAGCTCACAATACCTGATCTCCTAAGTTTCTGCTTTAAAATGAAGCCTTCATCATAAATACTTATTGGTGAATGATCTTTGCCTATACAATTATTTTTCAGGGTAAGAAATTCCATTGTTGGATGTGTGCATTCTCTATTGGGTTGGTTTTCACCATGGAAAATCTGTAAAATTTGGTTATACAAGATGTTTTGAATCCAAATTATCTCGCATTGTGCAGGATGATGAGGCAGTTGTGCTGCAGGGAGAGAAAGAAGCCGAGAAAATGATTGTAGAAGCTTATGCAGCCCTTCTTCTTGCATTCCTTTCAACTGAGAGGTTTGTGCACTTACTTAAGTATTTTTACTATCAGAGACAATAAGTTTCTGTGTGTATTTTTTTAATAAAATTTCTCTTGTTTTGCCTCTAGCAGCAAGAGCATACGTAATGCTATTGCCGACTGCCTCCCAGATCACAAACTGACAATTCTTGTACCTGTGTTGGAGAGATTTGTGGTATGTATCTGATAATCTAGATTTATGAAAAAATATTGGGAAAATCTCAAATCAGTGGCACAGTGTCGAGGGTTAGAAATTAAGGTCAAAATTAAGTATAGACCTAAGTATGGAGTCCGCCCTTATTAGGCAATTGGGAATGATTAAAGGAGTCTGGGCTAAAGCCTAAGGGAAGTGGGTCAATAGTAGGTCGGAACATGTCTGACCCGCCAAAGGGTCGAACAAGCTCCATGAAGAAAAATGTCTAAGTCAAGTTACGGAGGTACTTTGTCGGCGTTGCCATCTCAGCAACTACAACCGTCGTAACTAACTTGCAGAAGGAACACTCCGCCAAGGTGATAGTAGCTTTTGAGAGAAGTTTCCTCTCCACAAGTAAGAGGCTAATGCTTGGCGCTGATAGCAGGCCCGCTAGTGTTTTTTTAAGGCGAAAAGCGAACCGATGCGACAAGGTCTCCTAATGCCTAAGCGCGAGGCGATAAGGCGAGGCAAGGGCTTCATCGATTTGAGACGACCAGAAAGGATATTTTTTAAAAATAAATGATATAGACAAAAATATAAATATTTTCAAGAACCAGGAAATTAAAATAACCAGGAGCATTAATTGAAATTTTTTCAGCAACATAATTAAAAATTTTCAGCAAAATTAATTGAAATTTTTTCAGCAAAATAATTGAAATTAAACAAATTAATTGAATTAAAATAACTAGGAAATTAATTGAATTAATTGAAATTTTAACACAAAAAAAAATTGAATTAATTGAAAAAAAATTAATTTTAAAATAATTGAATTAATTTTAAAAATTAATTTTTGAGAATTAAAAAATAATTTTTAAAAATAATTGAATTAATTTTAACACAGGAAATTAATTGAATTAATTGAAAAAAAATTCTAATGGAAAAAAATAACACAGAAAAATAATTAATTGAATTAAAATAACTAGGAAAAAATGGGGGGGGGGTGAAATTTTAACACAAAATGGAAGGGGGCGATAGTGTTCTTCAAATGGAAGGAAAAAATGAACAAAGGAAGAACAGAGGGGAAGAAAGAGGGGGGGGGTCGACAGTGTTCTTCAAGTCGAAGAAAAGAAGACCCAGGTGAAGTCGAAGGGAAGAAAGGAAGAAGAAGGAACACACCAGGTGAAGTCGACTTCGGGTATGCCCTTCAATGTCAACGAACAAAGTCGACTTAGGGTTTCGATTTCTTATTTAGTAGAAAGCAATTATAAAGTGCAACGCATGCCCGTAAGTTGCACAAAAGTCATCCAAATTAAGGGCCCAGATGATTCGAACTGAAATTAGGCAAAAATCTGGTGAAGCGTCGCTTCGTTTCACCTCTCGCTTCATGCGCTTCTTCATCGCCTCACCATTTCGCCTCGCCTTGCCTCAGTGTGCTTGAAGCGCTACAGCCTCGCCTCGCTTAGCGCTTAGGCGAGCGCTTAGGCTCACCTCTGATAACACTGAGGCCCGCAAAGTCATCATTAGGTCGGCGTTGATAGCAGGCCCCGAAGCTCACTAGATTGGTGTTGATAGCATGCCCAAAGCTTACTGGTTGGAATTGATAGCAGGCCCAGAGATACCAGTATACCCCAGCGACCCCGCGAAGATGGGAGCAGGGTAGCCTGAGAGCAAGAGACTCCCTTCCTATTTACCTAGGTCATGGACCTGCCTTGGTTGCACATGGAGGACCAAGAAAGCTCCCTTGGGCTTGGTATTAAGGCACAACATGGTTGATAGTAGGCTTAGCTGTGGCCTTCGCCCCGAGAAGTTAGGGAGTTTGTGGTTAGGTAGCTAAGGGTGTAGGCGTCACTGAGGTGAACATGAATATAGCTAATAGCAGTCTATGAAATCCTGAGAATGCATGTCTTGGCTAAACTGAATTGAGAAGGCAAGTGCAACGGCAAATACTACTGCCACAAGTGCACTTGTTGAGGTTCAAGCTGAGGAGGCAAGTTGCAGCGGCAAATACTACTGCTGCAAGTGCACTTGCTGAGGCATCTGTGCCAAACAGATAGTACATAGCACATGCAGAGGGACACGTGGCATTTTTAGCCTGGTGGTCTAAGGCAGAATATTCCATGTGATTCTCAGGGACACATATTCTCACTTTATTTGGCCACGTGGTATCCTTTGGTGCCAAGGAAAAACCTATAAATAGGATTCATTTCCCAAAGTCCAAGAGGATGATTTTTGGAAACCTGGGGAGATGCTACCCATTTGTGCCCTGTCATTCTTTTCTTCTTCAACCACTTGCTCCACCCTCACCCAACTACTCATTCTACAACTTTCTTAGATTTTTATTGACTCATTCTCTAGCCAATTTAGATCCTTTGGACCATTAACATAGTTTTGCATCTCTAATCACTTTCTTAATCACTGTTCACCTTGAACACACAGTAACCCCCCCCAAAAAATAAATAAATAAAATTTGATGAGACACAAGTCTGTTTTGTGTTTGGTGCAAGTTCTTTTAAAAAATCAATGATCACATTATATTGCACTCGTAACCATTATGTTTTAACCAACTAGATGAATCTTGGCAAAAATGTATGTCATAATTAATCATCAGTCTGGGAGTTATTGGAGAGGTGTTGAGCTTTTTAATTGCCGATTATTTAATTGCTGAAGCTATATGTATATATATATCCATATTGATGCTTTTGAGTTGTGATGTGATGATTTTCCTGTCAGGAATTTCATTTGGCACTAAACATGATCCAACCGGAGACTCACACAACGGTGCTTGAAGTAATCGAATCATGCAGGATGGCATGAGATGAGAGCACAAGAACAAGGAGAATTGGTATAGCCTCAAAATTCCCACGGATTGACTGTGTGTTGTTACACTATACCTAAGGGAGAGATGGATTTCTTGCTGGTGATACTGTCAAAACTAACCCTAGGCCTGTTTTTAGTCTGATTGACGTTTTTTGATTATATATTTTAGCTATTTACATTATCTTTCGAGCCTTTTTTCCCCAACCATATTTGGTGTCAGCTGCGATGCTTGTATACAGAAAGTCCTACCAAAATCTAATTCTCTTTGTGAGTTGTCAATATAAGTTGTAATTGTTTTATGATAGCTCTCCACTATTAACCTGTCTCTGGCTTTTTTTGTTTTTGCTTTTGCTTTTGTTTTTGAGAACAACCCTACAAGGGTGTTTGGCTGAGGAGAAAATGCATGTTACGCAAGGACAATGTCTACGATTGTTGAGAACCATATTCTTTGGGGTGTGCTGTGGGGGCCATATTGTGCTTTGGGTTATTCATATTGGTTTTCTTAGCTTTAGGCCTAGCCCTTCATTACTGTCCTGCGTCAAACTCGTTGTCTTAAGATACTGATTAACAGTTTACAGAAATTTAACCACTGAGACCCTAGTTTTGAGTTCAATTCTCCTCAAAGTCAGCTATTTGGACACGAGATTGGTAGGACAAACTTTACATGCCTCGGAAAATTGTACTAAGTGTGTAGATTGTGGGTTCGAATCTCTGTTTATGTGCCAATTTATGACTTACTGCCAGATGGTTTGAATGGCCATGCTATGTATTACTACCTAAGGGTGATTCTTGAGGTTTCAGCTCTTCTAGAGCCCGAACAACCTAAGATCATCTCTTATGGTTAGGCTTTTAAAATATATTTTTATATTTTTTATGGCACCCATTCTTATAAAGAATTATATCTATTCCAAATTTATTAGTAACAACATTTACTTGCACATTTCTTTTCTTTTCCTTTTTAGATTCTTATCGGAATTCATTATTTAAATACAGTCTTAGGACTTGTGGCAATACTTATGTTTATAATAATGTGTTTGTGGCAACAAAAATTTTGAAAACTTGTAAACAAAAATTTGTTAGGTGTTTATGCTTATTTTCAAAAAATTATAAACAATTTAAAAAATTTAGTTTCACTTATTTAGAAAATTAACTTTTATTCATTCACCTTTATACCCATTTGGTCACTACTTATATCGATTTCAGTAGCCATCACATTTGACAATTACTACATCCTGCCACCGTCACTAGCAAAGTCCTCCAGCCACCATCGTTGCCAATTCCTTTGGTGAATAATTATTTTTAGCTGTCGACAATCACTTTTACCTTTATACCCATTTTGTCACCACTTATATCGATTTCAGTAGCCATCACATTTGACAATTACTACATCTTGCCACCGTCACTAGCACAGTCCTCCAGCCACCATCGTTGCCAATTCTTTTGGTGAATAATTATTTTTAGCTGTCGACAATCACTTTTAGTTATCATTTTTAGTTACTCTCTCTCACTTATTTTAAAAAGTAAGTTATTAAAATACAAGTGTGTACCAATTACATTTTCTAGTAAAGACAAGAAAAACAATAAATTATAAAGCGTATCAACCACACTTGACGATAGTTTATTATAGAGAAAGTAGGGCTATGCTTGATATGCATGAAAGGAACAAGCCATGAACAAAATGAGAGTGGGAGCACAATAAAAGTGAAATGAATTGAATTGAATGCCTACTTTGAATTCCATTGTTTGGTAAATTACTAGTTATCTAATTTGTAAATATAATCATATTTAATTATTTATTTTATGAATTAATAGGTTTAGAATATTACTTTTCATAATTTTAAAAAATTAAACAAACCTTTAATATTTATTTACTTTTGGTACGACGAAATCTATCCTTGACATTCATGATCACTTTTAGCATCATGAAGACTATAGAATAAAGATTTAGAGTCCTAATTTAGCAGCTTTAAAGAGATCCCTAATTGAGTAGCACTCCACCTTCTCATCCACCTTATCTTTCCATTCATCAAACAGTCCCACTCATCTTTTCATTGATCTCAAGTTTCTTAAATTACAAAGTAACCCTAAATCTTTAGTATAATTTATAAAAAAAATTAATTTTCACTTGTAAGACATTGTGAGACCCTAAATTTGGTTTAAAATTTGGATTTCTTCTATTGGCTGTCACGGCTTCAATTGTATACACTTTGTTAGCTTAATCATTTTTTGAATCATTCCACTAACAGTTTTCAGCATTATGGCATGGTTTGTTGCAGTTCCAGCAAAATAATATGGGTTTCTTCTCTTTGTCAGTTGAAGTTGTGATGAAACCAAAAGAAAGCTTACATGACAGATACATCCAAAAAAACGTAACAAAGCGTATCACATGATGAGTGAAGACAAATGAGTCACATGTTGAATAAAAACAAACTGATGGACATACTAGTGGGATTGTTTTGTGAATGGAAAGATGATGAGGATAAGGATGTGGAGTGCCACCTAATTAGGGGTCTCTATAGAGTTCTAAATTAGAGCTCCCAATATTTATTCCTACCGGGTAATGATACATCTCTCCATTCTTGCTTTCCTAACATTTTCTTCAAGATCAATCATATATTACTCCTAAAATGCATGAAATCCCATTGCTAAATATATGCATCTCAAAAATGTAAATTTGGTTTTAACCCTATTAAAATTAAAAAACCAAATTTATTAACACAAATTAAACTTCTCAACCTTGAAAGAACAAAAAACAAAGATAAAGCTATCATAGATGAATCGAATGTACAAGAATCTTATGTACAAGAAAGTGCAGATGAAGAAATAATAAGATACAAAACAATAAGTATCCATATTACCAATAAATCTTCATCAAAGATAGCGATCGAAGAATACCAACTATTTTGAAGATGAAATTAGCAGTGAAAATAACACTATAACTGATACTGAATATGAAAGTGATAATGAAGAAGAAGATGAACAATGGATTATTGATATCACAAATCAGTATCACGGCAAACAAAGGAAATACTCAAAATGCTCCAAGAATAGATAAATGAAGCACCGTATATCTCCGTAGTTGTTTGGGAACTCCACAAGATTAAGAGGAGAGCCCAAATTCACTAGGAATCAATGGAAGACATAGACCTTTGAAATTCTAAAAAATAGGTAGAAGTTCACATGCCAAATCAAATAAAGAAAGGCAGGAATCTTTCAGACAAGTCACAGGGAAGATAAAGCCAAACAAAACTCACCTGACTAATATATCCAAGGAGACACAACAAAGTGGATCATATGGTGAATGAAGACAAATGAGTCACATGCTGAATAAAACCAAAGTGGTGACTATGTTGTTAGTTTCAATAAATCAAAATATAAAAAGTTTATTGTCTTGTAACAAGAACCTTATCTTTTAATTTTATATATTTTAGTTCCGAAGTTGAAATCCACTATTTGCCTATAAAAGAGTGTGTCTACGTTTTGACATGAGACGAACACAACTCGACATCACCCCTACTGTAAACGCTTCCGTTTCTTGTCTTTAAACTAAAAGCAAAAAATTATTTGGTAAATTATTTTCATTTTCATTAGAATTGATTTCAAAATTTTTAAAATAAAAAAGAAAAAAAATGTATATTGTATTTTTTTATTTGTTATGAGAATAATATACAGTAACACAAGAGCATTTGATATTTTTCCCCTTTTTAGCAACGTTTCAATTATGAAAAATTATTTGGTATTGGACAAATTTACTTGGTGTCCCAACTTGATATTTAGGCCAAGTTTGACAAGCTGTCAAAAAGTCAAAAAGTTACTCAAAAAGTTAAAAAGTTATCACTATTCACCAAAAGTCAAAAATTATAGCTGCACAACTTCCAATCCTAATTTTTCTCTTCCCTACACACTAATTCATACAATTTTTTAATACACATTTTTTCATAAAAAGTCAAAAAGTTAACCCAAACATTCATATTTTTTTTCTCAAATTTTTAGTTCAAAAAGATAAAAAGTACACTTATTTAGGACATCCCAAATAATCCCTTAAAGGGTGTTTATGATGATCTAAATAAGTACAGTATATTTTTTGACTTATTATAAAAATATAAAAAAATAGAAATGTGATGTGATCCAAAAAAAAAAAAAAAAATTTTGTAGAGATGTCAAATAATGCCTTATTGATTATTGGTTAAAGGTGTAGGACTGAATACTCTTTGTTAAGATTTTGGAAAGGACACAATTTTTCTTTAGTCTTTTTTTGTAGATTGAACCTTGTTATATGGCCGATCATGAGTTTTGTTTTGATAATTCGTATCGTTCATACTTTAGGCTGTGTGTAAATCATTCACAAAAAAACAGGTAGAACTGTAACCATATTGATTTATCATATTTGTTTTCTAAAAAATGAATGGTCAACTTATTTGTCATTCTTTTTTGTAAATAAATGTCATAAACTAACATAATTATAATTATCGAATTGATCTGATTTATTTTATAAATAATTTACGCATTGTAATTTAAAAAATAAATAATTTAAGTTATTGAGACAGACTCGTAACAGGTTTTACGGCCCAAATGACACGGCATGATTCACTTTATGAACTAAAGCCAAGTTGTTGCATTTACACAATAACTTAACAAGTATCCAGTCATAAATTACATGGGACAATGACCACCAAATAATCACTCAATAACTTAAGGTTGTATTTGATTAGGAATTTCAAAAAAAAAATTAAAAAATGAATGGAGAAAAATATGTAAAATTATATAAAATATAACTCCCGTTTATTTTTTCTCACGTTTCCAAATCCTCAACAAAACATATGAAAATTTATTGGGTGACTTGGACTATCACTTGACTATTGTCGCATTAGCAAATAATAACTCGTCTCTTAAAAGAGGGAATTGAGGAAAAATTATATAGTTTGTTTAGTTTGTAAATTCGGAATTCATATTTCAAAAAATAAAAAAAATTATTTTTATTGATTTTTTTAATATTTTAAGTATTTGTTTTAATTTTTAGATATATTTAACACAAATACTTAAAAAGTATAATATTTATGATTTTTTTAAAAAAATTTACTAAATATAAAAAAATATCAAAATTCAGTATATTTTTATATTTTTGTGTATTTATTAATTTTTTAAAATATTTTTTTCCAAATATTTTACATTTTAAATACATCTAAATAATGTATATCTAAAAAAGTAAAAAGATTACTTCAAATTTTAAAATATTCACTATAAATAAAAAAATATGAAAAATAAAAAAAATTCAATTTTCCAAAAATTAAAGCCAAACATTGATTTCTTCTTAGCACATAAAAGTGATTCTCACCAATCACAAATTATCATTTTTTTAAAAATTATTTAGAATGATATATATTTTAATTTTTTATAAAAAAATATACAAAAAATTAAAGAAATAATGTGATAAATGATATTACTCAAATAAATACATTTATCTAAATACACTTATATCAATCATACTAAATAACTCTATAATTTTGTAAATTTTACCCATTTTTTACCAGAAGCGGGGTCGCTGCTGTGACCCCCACTGTTGTGTTCCCTGCTGTGCCTAAAACGGCACAGTTTCAACCTCTTTTTTTTATTTTTTTATTTTTAATGTTCTCATTATGTTTTTTGGCGTGATAAATTACATTTTTTTAATATTTATTTTAGGATTTAGGGTTTAATTCTTAAAATTTATTTATTTTTTAGTTTAGGGTTTAGGGTTTAATTCTTAAAATTTATTTATTTTTTATTTTAGGGTTTAATTATTAAAATTTATTTATTTATTTGTTTTAGGGTTTAGAGTTTAAGGTTTAGGGTTTAATTCTTAAAATTTATTTTTTATTTTTATTTTAAGGTATAGGTTTTAGCGTTTAATTATTAAATTTTATTAAATTTATTTTTTTATTTTAGGATTTAAGGTTTAAGGTTTAGGGTTTAATTTTTAATTTTTTTTAATTTTAGGGTTAGAGTTTAGGGTTTAATTCTTAAAATTTATTTAATTTATTTTTTTATTTTATGGTTTAGGCTTTAATTCTTAAAATTTATTTATTTTTATTTTAAGGTTTAGAATTTAGAATTTAGGGTGTTATTTTAAAAAATTACTATTTATTTTAAGGTTTAGAGTTTAATTCTTATTTTTTTAAAAAAAATTTTATGTTAAGATTTAGAATTTAAAATTTAAGGTCAAAAAATATTTAAAAAGGCTGTGCCGTTTTAACCACAGCACCGGGTCACAGCAGCAGTGACCCAGTGTCCTTTTTTACCAATCGCAACACTACTGTTGCGGCACCTGACGATGATCCGGGCCAACCAATAACTTGTCGGAACTGAGGCACCTCACTCATTCCCATTCGTGGGGACTGAGCTTCCTACGCAGAAGGCGTTAGCAAATAGACTGTTTAATCACAAACAAACAAGCTCTCTCTCTCTCTCTCTCTCTCTGATTTCGTGGATCTTCTTTCTCTAGCGACGTCAAAGGCTTCATGATCGATCTTCTCCGACGATGCTGATCTTGCTTCACGCACCCACTCTTCCTCGTTAAAGGTACGATTTTTATTTTGTTAAAACTATATTTCTAGTTTTTTTTTTTTCATAAAAATTTGGGGATTTCTGTTAATTTTGTACATTTATGTGTTGTGTATGTTGATTTGGAGGAATTTTCAAGAATTTCATGTAAGTTAGTGTGAAATTAGGGTTTCTGATTGACTGATAGGTAGTAGAAACTCATACAATACGAGTATTTGGGATCGAATGTGTTATGATTCTGCAATTTGAGTTTATCACCATGAGAGGGCTGCTCTCTGTTAAAAAAAGCTAGGTTCATGGAGTCTCACCTGATTGGGAGTGATGCTCTGGCTGTATATTCAAGTGTGAAGTCTTTAACTAATAAAATGAAAAATAAATAAATAAATAAAATAATATTTAGAGAGTTGTTATATATTGATTCAATGTGTTGCAAGACTCAACACATTTATAATATAATAAAAGTGAAAAGCTTGACGATATTTAATTCTTCATAGAGAGTTGTGTGATACACAGCTATTTTTTAGTATAGAAAATTTATTTACAAAAATAATTTTATATTATATATATATAATTCATTAATAATGATGTGCTGATAATATTTTTAAAATTCTATGTTATAATCATAATTGTTTTAATTCAATATGAATGAACAACAGCGAAAAAATGTCATTTTGTATGCAATACATTTGTCTAACTCTCTCAAATACCTTTCTATTTTATAAGCTTATTTAAGTTATTTAGTCAAATGCAGGAGTTATTTTTTTATAATCGGGTGTTCGGGCCAACTTATAAACAACTTAAGTAATTCTAGGAACCAATCCTACCGTCTACTTGTGAGGGTCCCATTTAAAGTCAGAGCAAATACCTTGTATGTACAGGTCCCAAGACACTTATTGCAACTAGCAAGTATTTAACATGCGACCTGAAAAGAGCATACCACCAGGCCCCAAGTAGTGTCCACTAGGCCAATTAATATCAACCCAAGTTGTGCCCAGTAGGCATAGAGTTAATATCTACCCTCTTTCTTTCTCCTTCCAACCATGACAAATGACTCGTTATAATCTTAAACGCTGGAGAAACCATCATTCCTTGACCTTCCTCAGAATTTTCCCACAATCCAAACACCAAACCCATTCCTTCTCTGCTTCCAAAATCCAATACCCAGATGCCAACTCCATCACAGTACCATTTCCCGCCACTTCTTCTCCACTCTCAGCACAGCAAACCCATGTTTCCAACAATTCTACACCCTCTGGTCAATGTAAATTCACTGACGTAATTTCATCGAACAAGATGATCACCAATCACATTCGGTCTGGTGATCTAGATTCAGCCCTCAGAGTGTTTGAAAATATGACAGCTAGAACCACAATTACATGGAATTCAATCTTGGCTGGGTTTTCAAAAAAACCTGGGAAAGTTAAAGAAGCCCGCCAATGGTTTGATAGAATTCCTGAACCAGACACTGTTTCTTTCAACACAATGTTAGCTTGTTATTTACACAATGCTGATATTGGGTCTGCAAGGACTTTCTTTGGTCAAATTCCCAACAAAGACACTGCGTCGTGGAATACTATGATATCGGGTTTTTCTCAGAATGGGATGATGAAGGAAGCCCAAGAGTTGTTCTCAACAATGCCGGTGAAAAATAGTGTCTCGTGGAATGCGATGATATCAGGTTATGTCAAGTCAGGGGATTTGGATTCGGTATTGGAGTTATTTTGGGCAGCTCCGGTTAAGAGTGTGATTGCATGGACTGCAATGATAACTGGGCATATGAAATTTGGAAAGGTTGAATTGGCTGAGAAATTTTTTAAAGAGATGCCAGTGAAGAATTTGGTGACATGGAATGCTGTGATTTCAGGTTATGTTGAAAATTGCCTATCAGAGGATGCATTGAAGCTATTTAGGAAAATGGTGGAATTGGGAGTCAAGCCAAATCCATCAAGCTTGAGTAGTGTTCTATTGGGTTGTAGCAATTTATCTGCTTTGAAGTTGGGTAAGCAAATTCATCAGCTTACGTGCAAATCTGTCTTGTGTTTGGATACAACCGTTGTGACTTCATTGATTAGCATGTACTGCAAGTGTGGAGATTTAAATGACGCATGGAAATTGTTCCTTGAGATGCCACATAGAGACATTGTCACGTGGAATGCGATGATTTCTGGGTATGCCCAACATGGGGCAGGTGAAAAGTCTCTAAGTTTGTTTGATGAGATGAGACATGAGGGAATCAAACCAGACTGGATTACCTTTGTTGGAGTTTTATCGGCTTGTAATCATGCAGGATTGGTAGACCTTGGGATTAAATATTTCGATACAATGTCAAAGGATTATGGGGTTGAAGCTAAGCGAGATCATTATACATGTATGGTTGACCTTCTTGGTCGAGCTGGTAAACTAATTGAAGCTGTAGATTTGATAAAGAAAATGCCTTTCAAACCACACAACGCCATATTCGGGACCCTTTTAGGTGCTTGTAGGATCCACAATAACTTGGACCTCGCCGAGTTTGCTGCCAAGAACTTGCTTGATCTTGATCCTATGAATGCAGCCGGTTATGTTCAACTCGCTAACGTTTATGCTGCAATAAACAGATGGGACAATGTTGCTAGAGTTCGACGATCAATGAAGGACAATAAGGTGATTAAAATACCCGGGTATAGTTGGATTGAGGTGAAGAGTGTGGTTCATGAGTTCAGATCAGGAGATAGAGTTCACCCAGAATTGAAATTGATACATGAAAAATTGAATGAGTTGGAGAAGAAAATGAAGTTGGAAGGCTATGTGCCGGATCTTGACTTTGCATTGCATGATGTTGGGGAGGAGCAGAAGGAGAAGCTACTCTTATGGCACAGTGAGAAACTTGCAATTGCTTATGGGTTGATGAGGATACCGTTAGGGACTCCAATTCGAGTGTTTAAAAACTTGAGAGTATGCGGTGATTGCCATCGTGCCACCAAGTACATTTCGGCAATAGAAAGGAGGGAAATCATTGTGAGAGACACTACAAGGTTTCATCATTTCAAGAATGGGATTTGCTCTTGTGGTGATTATTGGTGAAACCTGAAAATTGAAGTTATTTCCTGAAATTTTATGGGGAAAGAGGAATTAAAATGAATTTAAATTTCATTGAGAACACTACACTAATTTGGCATTAATGCTGGGAAATGAAGGTTTTCTCAACATTCGGTTTGAACACCCTTTTTGCCCATTCATGGGCATGTGTTTGAAATGTCAGGGAGGTCGCCCCACCCTGGAAAGTTGCATCACCCGGTCTGACACAATCCTCAATGTTCGCAAGCTTTTTACCGGAGCCCAAATGGAATTTGAAAGAGAACTGAAACTGCAAACCTTCAGGTTTTTCCCTCCAACTCGGCAAGATTTTCATTGCTACTGTGAGTATTATTTACAACAAACTTTATATTGCTGCACCTATCACATGACACAAGCAATTTGGTTGTACAATTCAACTCTCACGTTGTGCAGCTAATTAAGAAAATCTGCCATTGGTTATTTACCTTATTCCATTTTTGAATAATAAGTTACATCAATCAGTGGTGCTATGTTCTTGCCTTGGTTTCTAAGAGGCCCATTATGGGTTATTTGTCCACTTTGATGATCTGATTTGTTTATATTTTCGGTTACTTAGTGCTGATCATCCATGAAAAAAAATTAAATTGATCTAGCTGCATGATTTTATCATTATTTATCTCCAAAAAATAGACAATCTACTTCAAACTCATACTCGACATTTATTTTTTGGAAGACAATTATAATAAAGTCATGTGGTTATCAGTTCAATCTAATTTTGTTAGTAAATAATTTACCACCTAGTGACCTGAAAAATGAATAGATCAAATTTTCAAAGAGAAACCCATAATAAGCCCCATGAGCCCAGATAACACCGTCGTGTCCACATGGTTGACTAGAGACTTATCGATTCCTATTTCATATGTGATTTTTTACAAAACAATCCATTAACATTATTCATTAGTTCTGAAACACTGTTTCATGTGCATGTGGTATTCTTGATCAAAGAGAATGCACAAAATAAATTGAATAGGACCAACTTTATGCCCCATCCAACTGATCATTTGAAATACTACATGCATTGAGAGAAGATGATAGAACCTAATGTGCTTCTGGCCACCATCTCTAACCGTCAATAACCATCTTCGTCCACCCCTTTCACTTGTTTTCAAAACATAATTTTAAAATGGAAGTATACCAAACATGGTTTTTTTTTTCCCCCAAAATTAAACATAAACATGTTTATTGTTTTCTGTAAATAAAAACAGTTTATTACAAATTTTACCAAATGGCACCCAAGCATTTCTAGTTTTTCAGCTCTCTAAACCGATCTCCTAGTGCTATGCCTTAAAATGGTGCCTTCACCATAAATGCTTATTGGTGAATGATCATTGCCTGTAAAATTATTTTTCGAGTAAGAAATTCCATTATTCGATGGGTGCATTCATCTATTGGGTGCTTATTAGAAATGATGTTTGACCTAAACCAAGAAATTGCGATCAAGATTCATACTGTTATTCCAGTGATCATGCAAGACAAAGAACCTATTGAACATTTGGAGGTTAAATTGAGCATGTTTTGGGTGCTTTCTGTTTAAACTGATAGCTATCAGTGGAATAAAATGAAACTTGGGGATAGTAGGGTTAATCAGAGAATTCTAAACACATTGGCTTATGTAGAAACTAGATAATGGTGGGCACTAGTCATTACAAGCTATGCTGAATCCAAATTATCTCACATTGTGCAGGATGATGAGGCAGCTGTGTTGCAGGGCGAGAAAGAAACTGAGAAAATGATTGTAGAAGCTTATGCAGCCCTTCTTGCATTCCTTTCAACTGAAAGGTTTGTCATGGATAATATGTGTTTGGATATTTTCTTAATAAAATTTGTTGGCGTTTTGCCTCTCTCAGTAAGAGCATATGTAATGCTATTGTCGATTGTCTCCCGGATCACAAACTGGCAATTCTTATATCTGTGTTGGAGAGTTTCGTATTCTTTTTTTTTTTTTTGAGAACCCTACAGGGGTGTTTGGCTGAGGAGAAAAAGGAAACAGTGTCTATGATTGTTGAGAACCATATTCTTTGGTGCGTGAAGGCCATATTTGTGGTTTGGGTCATTCATGCTGGTTTCTTAGCTTTAGACCTAGCCTATGAAGCACGGACACCTCTCCGGAGGCAATGTATGGGTGTCGGACGTGTGTCAGACACAGACACGCGTCGGACACACGGTGAACATGTGTCCGACACTCTACCAAAGGTGTCCCTTTTGTTTTTTAGAATTTTTCCAGCCAGATACACTTGGGACACTCTATTGGACACGTTATGGACAGAGAGGGAGAGAAACCCTAACCTATTGAAGAGAGAGAGAGAGAGTGAAGAAGAACCTCTTGAAATGAAGCCTTAGATCAGATATGTTCCTCATTTCTTCAAATCTCTTCTTCAATCTTCTTCTTTTCTTCTGTTTTTCTTCATTTCTCTCTCTCTCTCTCTCTCTCTCTCTCTCTATATATATATATATATACTAGCGGGTGGCACACACGATGTGTGTGCAATTTAAATAAGTAAGAATAAAAAAAAATAATAATGAAATTAATAATATAATGTGTACTTAGCTTAAGTGGTATGAGTCCTCGTACTTAAACCCATGGTCATGGGTTCAAGCCTTGCCCATCTCTTTGTTTAACTTTTTTTTAAAAAATAAAAAATACTGCCACATGGCATGAGGAGAGTAATCATTTCTCTGGCTCTCTCTCTCTCTCTCTCTCTCTATATATATATATATATGGTGTTCCGACTCTCTCTCTCCCCCCTATCATTTGCCTCTCAATATCTCTTTTCTGTTCTATTTTTTTTTTCTAATAATATATATAGATATACTATATTATATACTAATATATTAATATATATATTTGAACAAAAACTTTTTTTTTCCCTCTTTTCCTTTTTTCTATTTTTTATTTGCTTAAATAAATTATTTTTATTTATAGGAAAATTTTAATTTATGAATGATATTTGATAATTAAATAAATAAATAAATAATATTTATATTTTTTAATTCTACATGTAATAAATAAATAAAATTATATATATTGAGCGCGTTCCTAACATGTCGTGTTCTCAATTTTTTGAAAATTTGTGTGTTCACATTTTCATATCGTGTCCCGTGTCTGTGTCCATGTCTATGCATCATAGGACCTAGCCCTTCAGTCTTGTACTAAGTCAAACTCATTTTCTTAAGACACGGATTAACAGGACCACCCGGTATGTTGGGTGCATGCTTTGGGTCATTTATGCTGGTTTTCTCAGCTTTAGACATAGCCGTTCAGTCTTGTACTATATCTAGGGTTGCAAATGAACAGAGCCGTTCGTGAACAGGTTCAAGCTCGGCTCGGTAAGAGCTTGTTCGAACTCGGTTCGTTAATTTTTTTTTTGCATTCGAGCTCGAGCTTGAACTCGTTAAATTTTTAATAAACAAGCCCAAATATTCTAAAGCTCGGCTCGTAAACTCGGCTCGTTTAATATTTATTATTTATATATTTAATAATATAAAAATATGTATAAAAAATAAGAGAAATATACTATTTATATATTTAAAAAATATAAATGTAAATAATAGTTAACTATAGGTAGCACATTGGTAGTAGATATTATTATTTTAGTAAAATATAAACTTTTTTTTAGTATGTTTATATATATTGTATCTATAATTGTCTAATTAAAATTTTAATTGTAACTTTATTCTCACATGATAGTCTGAATTTATAATTTTTTTGGCTCGTTATGGCTCGTGAACAGGTTTGAGCTCGAGTCAAGCCTAAGCCAACTTAGCTCGAGCTCGAGCTCAGTTTGTTAAATTTTTATTGGGCTTGAGCTCGAATTCGTTAAAATCTTAATAAACAAGCCCAAACATACTAAAACTAGACTTGACTCAACTCGTTTGCAACCTTACTCCTAGCAGCCTGCAGAACACATGGAACTCACATTGTTAATAGAAAGATTGTCTAGTTCTAAACATATGATGTATTTTATTACTAGACTTACCTCTTATCAATATCAATTGTGAAAAATCTAGAAATCCCCTAGATATTGATTTGTGATTATGTATCAATTTTAAGCAGTAAATAACAATCCCAATCAAATAATCAAGACAAATCAACACAACGATTTTAATGTGAATAAGGCTCGTGAACAGGCTCGAGCACGAGTTGAGTTTAAGCCAACTCAACTCGAGCTCGGTTCGTTAAATTTTTATTCAGCTCGAGCTTGAGTTCGTTAAAATCATAATAAACAAGTCCAAACATACTAAAGTTTGGCTTGGTTCGGCTCGTTTGCAATCCTAACTATATCAAATTTTTCTTCAGACACGGATAAACTGGACCAATATGTTGGGTGCTATACAAGGTTGGTAAGATGAGCCTTGTAGACTTTGTTTTTCGCTTATGTGTTAATAACGTTGTGTTTGATTGAGGGATTTAAGAAGGAATTTGAAAAAAAAAAGAAGTGAAATGTGAATAAAATATATTTATATTTTACTTAATTTTATATTTTTTTTTAATTATTTTTTTAAATCTTCCAATCAAATACAACATAAGAGATTTATCGTGAATAGTTATGTTATGTATTATTAGCTAAGGGTAATTTGTGGGGCTTTGACTCCTTTAGAACCTAGTCGAAGGAGTTCCCTTGTAGTTAGGTCTTTAAAATATTTTTATACTTTTTTTTTGCACACGTTCTTATAGAGAATTATAATTATTTTTATTTTAGATTTATTCGTAAGTACATTTAGGCCCTATCTGGCAACATTTATTGTTTAGAAAAATGTTTTATACTTTTTTATGGTAATAAAAAATTTAAAAACTATAAACAAAAATTCGGTTGGTGCATATGTTTTTTTTTTTTTTTTAATTGATTGGTGCTTATGTTTATTTTCAAAAAAAATGATAAACAGCTAAAAATATTTATTAAAATTTCGTAATAAAAAGATTTAGTTTCATTTATTTAATTTTTTTTATTTATTATTTATTCTCCTTTTCCAAACCCATCAGGTCCACCATCCACATTTGGCAATTCCTGCATCTTGCCCATCACTAGCGACCTCCGGCCACTGTCTTGGCTAACTACTTTGACCACCACCTCTTGCGCTTCACAACTACCTTTGGTCGCTAACAATCATTGTTGATAATTATTTTTCACCATCAACTCAAGATAAAAATTATCTATGATTGTTACCTTTTGCTAGAAACAAACTATGATCATCTGCAACTACTTTCAATCACCACATCTGATTAACAATCACATTGTGTTACTCTTCTTTATTTATTTTCAAAAATAAGTAATTAAAATACATATGTATACCAAATATTTTTTTTTAAAAATAAAAATAAATTATATGTAGGGCTATGTTTGATAGGTATGAAAGAAATAAGCAATGAATATTAGTTTAATTAAATTTAACATGTGAATAGGTAATTTATTTTTTGGTTCTTTTGTTAAAATATGAAACGAAAAAAACTAGACTGCATTTGGTTTAATTTTGAAATTATTTTTGACTTTTTACGAAATATGTGCAAAAAATAAAGAAAAGAAATTTTTTGACTTTTTGTATAATTCTTTAGTTTTTGGACTTTCTTAGTAATTTTTTAACTATTATAGAGGTTAGATAATGGTAAATTTTTTTTGAGGGCAAACTTTTTTACTTTACCCCTTGTGATTTGGGCCATATGCAGTTTATCACATAATCTTTGGTTTGTAAATTGAAGTGCACCGTTAGGACCTTTAACGATTTAATAAAAAAATATTAAAATATTTCTCTATTTTCATCATTTGTTTAGAAGACAAAGTACACTTTACCTCTTGCACTTTATTTCATATGCGATTTATCCTATTGAAATTTGAAAATGAATATATAATCTCTTTAGGTTTATCACATATTTCATACTTGTTGTCACGTTGGACGAAATATTTAACGGTGTTTAATGGTGCACTTCAGTCCACAAATCACGTGGGATTATGTAGTTATTTTTAAATGTTAAGGGGGTAAATCGTAAATGACCCAAATCATATAGGAGCAAAGTGAAGTTTGTCTTTTTTTTTTGTCATGACATATTAACATGGCATAAATTAGACATGAATCGAAAATGACATGATATGATAGTACGAAATAATAAATAAATTAATTTAATATTAAAATGATTCTATACGAATCTAAAATGACCCGACCTGCCACGGCACTCACCTCTTCCATTTTTTGTCTTTAAACTAGAAACAGAACTTCTTTGATAAATTATTTTTTAAAAAAATTAATATTAATTTAAAAAATTTTAAAAACGAAAAAGAAAAATTTGTACTAACACACAGTATTACAAGAGGGTCTCATAATTTTTTCCTTTTTAACCAGGACGACAGAAAGTTTCACTCATAAAATACTTCTGAGAGAATTTTAGTATACACATGTTCATATCATATGTATTTTTAGTTATATCATTTTCTTTTTTAGTTACGGATAATTTTTTAGTTATGATATAATTTTGAAATATTTAATTATGACTTTTTTTAAAAAATTATGTCATTTTCTTATGTAATTATAAGGTGCATATACCATAGTCTTTCTCAACACAAAAAGCTAAAATGAAAAAAAATAAACGTGAATGGCTAAAATGAAAAAATTGTCAAATCTATATAACACCAATATGTTGGGTGCTATACAAGGTTGGTAAGATGAGCCTTGTAGACTGGAAAGATTATGATGCACAAAAAAATCATGACCAAATATCTTAAAATAATATCATAATTAAATAAGAAAATTAATCGTAATTAAAGAAGAAAATATGTAATTTAGGGTGCATATGATATATGAGTGTGTATAATATAATTCTCCTTTTATGTTTTAAATTCTTTCTAATTTATTTCAAAAGTTAATTTGTGTCCAAAATTACATAAAAAATAAAAAAATAAAAAACATATTAACAGTCATGTGATATAAAAATATTTTATTACATATGATTTACACATCTTATACAAATTCAAACTCAAATATAAAAACATTTTTTTTTCTGTTATGTGATAGTTAATATGAT